GCTATGTACTCTACCCTAAAAGGAAGTAAGATAGAATGGATTTTGGAATCAGAATCACAGCTCTGTCTATCACCCAGTTACACTAAGCAAATTACCTACCGTCTTTCTTCCCACCTACAAAATGGTTATAGATGGAGGTAACAGAAATAATATAGTTTGTTGTAAAAATCAAATACAGTCTACTTGGCACATAAGAGTTGCTCAGTAAATGTTAAGTCCCTTCTCTTTCTTCCCCACTCAGGATGTTGACAATCAAAGGGAAAAACAGGACATCCCAGCGCTCCATATGGCTGATTATGCTATAAACACAGATGCTATATGCCTGGGGGAGAGGGAATATAGGTGAAAGAGAGGGCTTAGTAACTCCAGATGGCACAGGTATTTACTTTGCCAGTTCTGAAGGAAAGTATAATGTCCCTTATTTTTCTTTCTGTGGACAAACAGGAAATTCCCAAAACACCAGACCATGCCCCATCCCGGACCTTCTATTTATACACTGTGAGCATCCTGTCAGCTGCCCGGATGCTGCTGCATAGGTGCTACAAGGTAACTCCTCCCCATCCCCTCTACAGAGATGTCTCACCCTGGCACCCCCTTTAGTTGTTTTGCCTGAGCTACTTATATAGAACTATGTGCATTTCTTCTCTCCCCTCAGAGTGTAGCGAACTTAATAGAAAGGAGACAATTTGAAACCAAAGAAAACAAGTGAGTAACATTTTTCAACTGAGTAATTACATTTTTCAAGGCCATAAAGCTTATGGGGAAATTTCCTATAGAAACGGAAACCAATAGAGATAATAACCTGTCTGGTTGCACTGAATTATTGGCTTAGTTTGGCATAATCATGCATTCGTATACACTTTTCTCATATATCCCCAGTGAAATAGTTTTGCAGATTGAATTTATGAGCAACATGTAAACTGGCACCAAATTTTAAGTACAAGGGAGAAGCAGCAAGAGTTTCAGGAATAGTCACATTTCTAATTAAACTCGTAGAAAACGTCCTTAGAGAGTGACACTGTCCACTTTGACCAGGAACATAGTAAAGGGGGAGTTATGCCCCAGGTCTATGGGATAAAAGAATTTCCAAGGCTAGGGGACATGCCTCAGACTTGTGTTGTTCTGACAGGCGTCTACTAGAAAAGTCTCAGAGGGTAGAAGCCATCATTGCATCTATGCAGGCTACAGGTGCAGAGGAGGCACAACTACAAGAAATAGAGGAGATGATCACAGCCCCCGAACGCCAGCAGCTAGAGACCCTGAAACGTAACGTCAACAAGTAAGCCTCACAAACCTCAAAGCTGTGTTTCAAAGTACCCTCCAAACAAACCCACTTTGATGTCCTGCCGCCCCTCCTTCTTAACATGAGCAAACTGAAACTCACTATCTTCCTCCTCACATCAATTAACAGAATTTAATCCACCTATTTTCCTAAGCTCAAATTTCTGAAGATATTCTCAGCTTCTCGTCCCTCACCTCTCTCTCTCTCCTCTCATCTCTTTTCTCTCTCCTCTCTCTCTCTGTCTCATGTTCACCACAACTGTTGATGTTACTTCAGCTGTGTGTCCCAAATCTGGCCTTTCATCTTGCTCTCCATGCACGCCCTTCTCACCTTTTTCCCAGACCTTTGCAGTCACCTCCCCCTTCAAACCATTTCTTATAATGCTTTCAAAGTTAGTTTCTTTAAAGGGATTGATATCACTCTTCTACTTTAAATGCTTTATTGACTTCTTGTTTACAGCAAAAAGACCAGCCTCCTTGGCCTAACATACAAGTCCTTTCATGGTTTCATACTAGCCTGTCCCTTCATCCTCATTTCCTTTCACTCCTCACCATAGACCTTCATAGGGATTGCTTTGAATCTGTAGATTACTCTGGGAAAGATTGCCATCTTAATGATACTAAATCTTCCAACCCATGAATATGAAAAGTCTTTCCATTTACTTAGTTCTTCCTTAATCTCTTTCAATGATGTTTTCATTATTCAAGTTTTACAGTTTTTTTGGTTAAATTTATTCCTGTTTATTCTTTTTTGATGCTGTTTTAGTGTTTTCTTAAATTTCATTCTTGAATTGTTCATTGCCAGTGTGTGGAAATAGAACTGATTTTTGTGTTTTGATTTTACATCCTGCAATTTTGCCAATTCATTTACTAGATGTGGTAAGTTTTTTGTGGATCCTTTGAGATTTTTCTGTCCATAGGATTATGTCATCTGTGAATTAGAAATAGCTTTACTTCTTCCTTTTAAATCCAGATGCCTTTTGTTTGTTTTTCTTGCCTAATTTCCAGACTAGAACTTCCAGTGAAATGTTGAATGGAAGTAAAAAGCAGGCATCCTTGTCTTGTTCCTAATCATAGGGGGAAAGTTTTCAGTCATTCTCCACTAAGTATGATGCTCAGTATGGGTTTTTCATAGATGATTTTTATCAGTATATCAGTAGAAGCAGTACTCCCTTCTATTCCTAATCACTTTCAGCCTCAGCCACTCTCAGCTTCTATTTTAAAAGACACTAGGTCCTTTTACACCTGTGCCTTTAACATGTGCTTTTTCCTCCTTGCAAATGAGACTATAACTTCTCCTGGGACAGAGGCATTGTTTTTTGAACCCTCAGCAATTCCCACAGTGCCCAGCACAGACTACATGCTTGGTCAATGGGAGAATGAGCTATTAGTTCTCCTGCCTTCTGCCCAGTACTTTCGAGGGTAACCAGTCCAGCCTCTAATCTTAAATACGCTGATAAATGTTCAATCTGGACAGATGCTCTCATTTTTTTCATTCAGGTTGGATGCCTGTGAGATCCAGGTGGATGAAACCATCTTCCTGCTGGAGTCATACATCGAGAGCACCATGAAGAGACAGTGACCCAGAAGAAAAGTTTCCCTCCAGAGATCTGAGGGGATTGGAAGGAAGAATAAAGGAGTAGGAGAGGATCCAGATTCTGTACTGACATTCCCTCTCCCTACCACCCAGAGTACACCAGAGTGTGACCTGTCTTTTTTTTAAGTTTGCTAATCCTGTTTTAGAACCATCATTATATTCTACCCTCATCAAATCTTGGCAGGAGAAAGAACCTTAAGTCAACTAGATTAATCACCTATTAGATGCATCAGTTCCCACCGAGAACACAGCTAAAGCTGTGTTTGAACATCTCTGACAATGAGAAAAACTTCTTCCTAAGCTTTTTATTCCATTTTCAAAAAGCTGCACCTGCTCTTTACTTTGTTAAACTGTAATATTAAACACACACACAGTGTAGAGAATGTGAAAGACTACCACGGAGAGGGGGATAAAAGCTATTTTTAGGGCTAGCAGGTGGATTGGCCCAAGCAGCCATACTAGAATCTATGGATAAATGTCACATTTGCCAGCTCTGGGCTTCTAACACATCTGAAATTATGTGTGTGAAACACTTAGCACAGTGCTTGGCATATGATAAGCACTCAATAAATCACTGCCTTTCTCTTCACCATTATTCCTAAAAACTGGCAATTGTAACTTCCCTCTCTCAGTACTGTGGATAGATGACTATTCTAGTTGGTATAATTTGTCCCAGCAGCTTCATTTCATTTAAAGCAGTTAGGTGTTGTTTCATAATCACTTCAGTTTGCTCCTACCAGTGTTTGTCCTAATTCATTAAATATTGGAATGCCAATTAACTGTAGATACAATATACAAAGATAACTCTTAATACAATACCGTCTCTGCCTTCAAGACACTTACCATTATTTTTCAGCACAAGTTACGTCCCCAGTACTCGGATGCAATGATGAATAGCCTCGAGCACAAACGTAATGAAAGAAGACAAATAAGTTCAAGGATGTGTTGGGGGACTGTAGTATAGAAGTAAAGGGGGGAAGGGTTAGGCAAAGAAGTAAGCAAAGAGAAGTGACACAATATGTATTTTGAAAGATAGGGATTTACCAGGTGAAAGGGGGAAAGACCCCAGAGGGAAGTAGAGCGTTTCTTAGGGGAACCACAAATAGGATATGACTAGAAAACGGCATAAGTCCTGCCAGAATTGACAGGCAGGAGCAAGGACTGGTGGGTCCTTGCTATGCTGTGCTAAGTAGCTTAGCTTATCCTGAGAGCACTGAGAAGCAAAATGAGCAGACTTGTGTTTTGGAAAGATCACTCTGAACTGTAGAGAATGAATTGGTGGGGGCAGGACTATTTCTGTTTAGTCACTCAGTCACGTCCGACTCTGTGACACCATGGACTGCTGCACGCCAGGCCTCCCTGTCCATCACCAGCTCCCAGGGTTTACTCAAACTCATGTCCACTGAGTCGGTGATGCCATCCAACCATCTCATCCTCTGTCGTCCCCTTCTCCTGCCTTCAATTTTTCCCAGCATCAGTGTCTTTTCAAATGAATCAGTTCTTTGCATCACGTGGCCAAAGTATTGGAGTGTCAGCTTCAGCATCAGTCCTTCCAAAGAATATTCAGGGCTGATTACCTTTAGGATGGACTACTTACAGACTTGCAATAATACCTCGGGCAGAATATGAGGAAGACTTGAACTAGGGCACTGGAGGCTGGAGATTACACGGATTTGAGAACATTTAAGGAGGTAGAATCTGGTGGACTTGGCTGCCATTTGAGTGAAAAGAAAGAGAAGGTGACAAGAATGCTTCCTGGGTGTCTGGCTAAGAGATAGATGTAATTAATCCCAGGTGTTAACCTGCTAGCACAGGTGTGCAGAGTGCCCCGGAGAGATACTTACATAGTTCCACCCTTGACTGGTGGGAAATGACACGTGAGTCCAGAAATCACTCAGTCTGGGGATCATTTTCCTAAACAGAAGATGGGAGGACAAGAGGAGCTGAGGATTTAGAGGCGTTCCGCTTTGTCATTTATTACACTCCTGGATCATCCCCAAGGCTCTTCCCTAAATTTCCCCCTGGGCCGTTCCGGAAGCCCGGCTTCCTTCCGAGCCGGCGGAAAGCTCGGAGGGGAAGCGCTGCTGGGCCACCAGAGGGCGCCCAGCGCGCCAGAGCCGTGATGGCGGCGACACGGGTGCTGCTACTCCTCTCCGGGCGCCCGGAGTCGGTGAGCTTCGCGCAGAGTGTGTGCGGCCTCCTGGGCGGGTCGGGGCTCGGGCCGTGGCCCACGCACTGCGGCCTGAAGCGCGGACAACTGGTTCTCTCGGATAAGCCTTTCCCAGGCGCGTCGGCCAGGCTTCCGCTCCAGGTGGGGCGGAGGGGACGCGACGGGGCGGGTGAAGGGCCGAAGGAAGGGACCGGGAGCGGGGTGGGGGGGAGCTGGAGGCGAGAGGCCTGGGCCGGTCACCTGCCTCGGGCTCCTCCAGTTCCTTGTCTCTCCTGCGATGTTAACCCCAGTGGCTCCCTCCCGCCAGCGACCCCCTTTCTGCCCTTTTGCGGCCCTGGACCAACAGCCCAGGGCTCCGGGGGTCGAGCTGCCCCCGAATGGTCGAGGTGTGGATCTGGGTGTGGCGGTCATTCTGCAGTCCAGCGATCAGACTGTTTTGTTGACGCGAAGGACAAGCACCCTCAAAGTTTCGCCCAACCTCTGGGTACCGCCAGGTGAGTGACCGGAGAAGGCCCAATGTCCAGGAAAGAAGCCTGCCTCTACCCAACAGTGCTCTTCCCAGTCTCAGAATGACAGAAGTAGGCCCAGAAGTGTGATAGGTCCCCGAATCACAAGGGGCTACAACTGCACCTGTGCCCACTGGCGGAGGGGGCAAGCATAGTGAATGGGGGGGGTCCCTGGACAGGAACACTACCTTTCACCTACTGGTCCCACTGTTGTTGCAGGTGGGCATGTGGAACCTGATGAAGAGGTAACCAATCAACCCAGCCAACCTGCACCCTCTGCTGAAGAAGAGACCCTGTCTGGGACCAGGCTGGAGTGTGGGCTGGGGGAAGGGCAAACATAGGACTTGTAGGAGCCAGGCATTGGCCTCTCTGACCTCCTATCCTCTCACCCCCCAGCTGCTGGATGGGGGGCTTCGAGAGCTTTGGGAGGAAAGTGGACTCCAGCTGCCCCAGGGCCAGTTCTCCTGGGTCCCTCTGGGGTTATGGGAGGTGAGACAGGGGCCTGGGAGAGGTTCCTTCCTATCTAACCAAGAGCACGTAAAAAATACTAACCCAACAAAGCCCACAGAACAGCCCTACTTGCCTTGACCACAGGGGAACTGATGGAGTGTGGGTGGTTTGGAGTCCCCAATCCCATGACTCTGACCCATGTCCCTCCTATACCATTTCTACTCTCCACTTCCTCAGCTGCGTTTTCAAAGTCTCAAAAAGGGACAGGAAGTTCTCTATTTTTCTTCTTAGTCTGCCTACCCCCCTAAGCTGAGCTGGGGTCTCCCCAAATACCATCACATCGTCCTCTACCTACTTGTCATCTCCCAGGAGTCACAGCAGCAGCTCCAGGTAGGGCTGACAAAAAGGAAATGGGGCTGAGGCCCAGACAGACTGGTTCCAACGATGACTAAGCTGGGGGGAAAGTCAGAGATAACCACGAAATACAATAGCCTCTCCCCTGTCCCTGCTCCAAGTCTCTCCATTCCACCTGTGGGTAGGCTGTGATCAAGAACAGGTCTTCCAAGAGAGGCCATGACTAAAGGATCAACATGTCTGGCCCCAGGCCCGGATTCAACCAAATGCAGGAGAGGTGAGTGCCTTCATGTGGCTGGGACCAGACATAGCAGCTGCAGTGGCTGCCACAGAGGATGGGACAGAGACCCTCAAACATCTTCCCCAGGACCTACCATCTTCTGTCCCGTAAGTAGGAACTTCTCCCTATCCCTCCAACACATAGACACTGAGAAGTTCACCTTCTGTCTCCTCCTCAGGGGAAGATGTGTGTTGTGGGGGAGATTTAGGGAGGGAGTTGGTCAACTGATAATGAAGAAAGCACATAGATCAAAGACACTGCCTATGATACTCCCAAGGGTTCCTGTCTAACTGGCTAGCTTTGAAGACCTCCCTCGGTTTCAGTCCCGCACTCTCATTGGGGCAAGTCACTTTACCCTCCTTTCTGTAAAATGAGGTTAACCCCCCCCAACCCCTCTCCTGTGGTGGTTGGAGGATCACATGACCTAATGGATATAGAAGTGGGCCTGGCTAAGCCACAAGGCCCAGCCCAGACAGGAGCCGTCATTCTGCAGTGCAGTGGAACTAGCAGAGAATGGAGGAGCCCGCCCTCTGGCCTTGCCCACATCTACCCTGCTGCGGACAACACCAGCCACGGCAGACTGCAGAGAGAGGGTCAGCTCTGGGACCAAGTTTGCCCTCACGCTCTGGCTACAACATCTGGGCAGGTAAGGATGAGGAAGGACATAAGGACTCCACAGTGTTGGGCTGAAGGGGCTAGTGTGCTTATGGGCTTGGGGAAAAGAAGGGAAGAAAGAGCAACTACCCTGGGAAGTCCTCGGTGTAACACCCCTACCATGAGGAAGTGGAGCTCACTTGGACCCAGGGCCAGCAAGGGAAGAACAGAGCATGGACCTCCCTCCCCACCTCCCCACACCAGGGATCTGGAAAGCCGAGTGCTTAATCCCCTCCCCAGCCCACCTCCGTGACACTCACAGAACATTCACAACCTTTATTATGAGTAAGAACTTTGCTACAACTGTGAAAATAAAAAGTAAAATTACAACATAGATCCTAGGCCCCAGAGGAGCCTGAAAAGGGAGACAGGAGAGAGCACAAGGATGCTCCCCCCTCCCAGGAAAGGTGCAGAATGAGCCAGACCTAACCCCAGGGCCACCAGCCTTGAGAAGCTCAGGCCCCAGGCTGGTCAGCGTAAGCAACGTTGTGAACTTAAATATATAAATAGAGACCCAGGCAGTCAGCCAGGCCCTTCTCCCAAACGCCTGGGAATCCGGGCTAAGGCCTTATCTCCTCCTCAGTCATACTGGGCAGTAGGAGGCAAGGAAAGTCATCTTTGGAATATTTTGGTTTTTCTTGTTTACGCACAAAATATCTGCAACCCAAAATAGAATTCTCCCTCCACATGTCTGCCTATCTCAGTTACTCTACCTGTCTGTTTGGCCAAAGAAAACGGAATGGACGTGAAGAGACGATGGAGTGGGGAAGGAACAGAGCCGGCTGTGGGGGCTGGGAAGAGAGGGCATCTGGGGAACATGAGAAAAGCCCCCTCCCCACAAGGCTCAAGACAGTCAAGGCTGAGGACTCAGCCCTTTCCCCAACTCACGTCCCATCCCATCTGCCTCCCACTGCCTAGGTTAACGGACCCAAAGGAATGTGCTGGATGTCAAAGAACATTTCCAAAAACAGACCCCAGATGTCCTTAAAAAGGTTAAATATTAACCCTTTGGGTGCTAGCCTTGTCAGGCAGAGATAAGGCCAAAAAACCAGTGTCCATGAAGGTATTTCTGGCCTTTGACCAAAGCCCCCTCCCCACCCCAAGGGGTCAGAGCGGCCAGGAGTCTAGACTCCACAGCATACTTGTTCAGTGTTGGGAGACTCAGTCCAGGGAAATGATGTCTGACCGACAGCCAGCCAAAGAGGGACCTGAGGGCAGGGGTCCTCCGTGCCCCTCCCTTAAGGTCCCCCCAGGGGCCACAATGCTACTGACACGGCCAGGAGGGGGTGCCGACGTGGCACTGCGGTGAGAGCTCCCCAACGTGGGGGTGAGCGGGCCCAGGAAGTGGGAAGGGGTCCCTCGGTACTGGAAGAAGTGGCCCAGGGCATCCTGTTCATCTAGTGAGGTGATGACAGAGGGACCATAGTGCTGGGAGGAAGCAAGAGTGTGGTGTAAGATTTTATCCGGACCTTCCTTACCCGCCTCCCAGTCACTCATCTCACAAATATCATATGGAATAAATCAACCCCTCAGAATCCCAAAGAGTTCTCTGAGAAGCAGGAGAGCTCTCCTCTGACTCCTTCCCCCACATCCCCACACCCCACCCCTCTTCCCTGCCCTGAGACAGCCCCACCAGCTCGGCCCTGTGGGCGTCTGAAATGTGTGGAATGTCCGGCTAGGGCAGTCACGGTGCTCAAGTGCACATGGGTTGGGGGCAGGGTGAGGGTGAGCAGACAAGAGCAGAACTACCCAAAAACTAGAGACAAACAGTAAGTTACGGGACAGAGGAAGACACGGGTGAGAATCTGAGGACGTCCCAGGCGGGGCCTCCGAGGGAAATAATCTGCCCGTACCACCCCACCCTTCCTTCATGAAGAAGCCGATTTAGGTCTCCCAGGAAAATGAGGGGCCCCATCAGTGCCTAGAGAGGAAGCTTCAGAGATCTGAGGTGGAGAAGGGACCGCTTACCTGACTCTCAGTCTGAAGGAAAGAAAATAAATCTAAACCTGGTAGGAAAAGAAAAATTAAAATCAGCCTCCTATCTAAACATCACACAGACACACAGACACACACACTCAAAGAAGTTCCCTGGATTGTAGCCCTTTACAGAAAAGCAAGGGTTCTGAGCGGGTTTGGGGGAGGACGCGGTAGTGCAGGGCCCCATGCTGTGAGCCGTGTCATACCTTGGATATCAGCCCCGAGAGGAAAGGCAGGCGGGTACTCATGGAGGGGGAGACTGGACAGGAAATCCCCGCCCAGCGTGCCCACAGCAGGGCTCCGCAGCACCGAAGAGGGCTGGTGACCAGATGTCAGGACTCTGTGAGGGAAGAGGTGGAATCACAGGTGCCCTCACCCAGTTCAGCATCCCAAGTCCCCTCTCTGCCCCAGGGTTTGCGCATTCCTGATTTCTCCCTCTGTGCCCTGTGCTGTAGATTCAGTCTGTTTCTTCATACCCTTTGCTTCCAGGTAGAGCCGGGATGGCAGCTGAGGTGACAGGACAGTGCTTCTTTGTCGGGGGCAGGTCCTCCTCGTCTGAGGAGCTTTCTACTGTCAGGTCAATAACTTCAACCTTCTTCTTACTCTCCGATGGATTGCCCTCTTGGACTGGGCTATACTGGAGGCCTGTGGGTGGTAAGAAGACTGTGTCTCAGAGAAGAAGCCACACAAGACTTAGCTCAACTGGGAGACAGGGGGTCACTCACCATCCAGCCCATACCCTGGCGGGGGGCAAACCTCAGATGCCTCCTTCTTGGGTTTCATTGGGCACCAGGATCCATCTTCCATGAACTGGATCTCATCACAATCCGAGCAGGAATTAAGAATCTCCATGAATAAACTGGGGGAGAGGAAAGATGGGAATTCACGTGGCTGGAACAGTGGCCACAGAGTTCTAGGACTCACCTTCCTGAACCTGTTTCCTCATCTGCAAATTAGGGCTGTTATCCACCCTCCTGACCTCTCTGGGTTGTTGGAATCAATATAAAGAAAGTGAAAGTGAAGTCGCTCAGTTGTGTCTGCCTCTTTGTAACCCCATGGACTCTATGGGCCAGAATACTGGAGTGGGTAGCCTTTCCCTTCTCCAGATGTTCCCAACCCAGGGATCAAACCCAGGTCTCCCACATTGCAGGTGGATTCTTTACAAGCTGAGCCACAAGGGAAGCCCAAGAATACTGGAGTGGGTGGCCTATCCCTTCTCCAGGGGATCTTCTCGACCCAGGAATCGAACCAGGGTCTCCTGCATTGCAGGTGGATTCTTTACCAACTGAGCTATGAGGGAAGCCCAAGGTGTATAAAAGAGCTGTGAAAACTTTAAATGCTAAGTTTTAAAATAAATACATTCTTAAAAATCTGTTTCGTGTGGTACTAGGGACAAGACAGAAGGCGCAGAGGTACAGAACACTACGAAAGTGTTAGCCACTCAGTCATGTCCCAATCTTTGTGACCCCATGGACTGTAGCCTGCCAGGTTCCTCTGTCCATGGGATTTCCCAGGCAAGAATACTGGAGTGGGTAGCCATTCCCTTCTCCAGGGGATCTTCCTGACCCAGGGATTGAACCCGGGTGTCCTGCATTGCAGGCAGATTCTTTACCATTCAGAGCCACCAGGGAAGCCCTCTGTACAGAACTCTATAAACCACTTCAAAAAAGGCACTGGTAACAAGAACCATAACAGAGAATCTGGAAGAGAGTTAAAACTTGCTAGATCAGCACATCCAGGACCTCAAAAGAACCTGACTGCTATGTACAATAAGACATCAGGTGATTGTTCTATGTAACAGTTCATATACGTGGCTCTGCCACTTGATTTACAGTATAACTTTGAGCAAGATACTCCATCTTTCTAGGCTTCAGCGTCCCTCACCTATAATGACAGGGTTATTGGCATCTCACAGGATTCAATGAGATAAGGCATGCAAAGTTCTCAGCACAATGTGTAGTGAGTCCTCAATGTTGGGAAGATACATAATATTTATATAAAATAGACCAGTAAGAGGGTTCAAGGGAGGGGAATTAAGTTAAAGATATGGATTTATATATGGGGGGGGGGCAGTCGTAGCAGATATCCTCAGTAAAAGGAAGCAGAATGTAGAATGGTCCTACCCATCAATGATAAGAGATTCATAGGGAGCTTTCTTGTCACACACAGGACATGTCCACGTTGGCTTCTTCTCGTTCATCTGTAGATAAAGGGCAGCATCGAAGCTCTGCAGGTGGGCGCAGGTGAGGGCGCGACAAGGGACAGTCAAGCGCATCTTCCCGAGCTGAGAGAGACAAGTTCTCTGGTCAGAGTCCCCATGTCCCAGAAAGCTTTCTGCTAACTGCCCTACAAACCCTCACCTGCATCCAGAAGTTCATCCCACCCCTCCAACCCCTTCTCCTCCTCCTCCTGTCCCTGGTACCCACCGGGCACATGAGTGACACCCGGAGACTCGTAGTAGCCACCTCACTGTCCGGGTCAGCGGTCAACTTCTCCTTGACTGAAACAAGAGTGGGGCCAGAGCCACAGGGTCAGCAAGGCTGGAGAGGCCTGGGAGATGCTAAAGCCAGAAGCAGATGGCCCCGGCTGAGAGGTAGCTGGGGAGAGAGCCTTTGGGGGCCCATGGGATATCATATGGGGGTGGCCTGGGGCCTGCATTATGAAGGCTGTGGGGGAAGGGCATCTCCCAGTCCCTAAAGATGCTTAATCTTTAGCATCTTTGGCAGAGACAACCTAGACACTCGGCAGAGAAAACCTAGAGGGAACTGAAGTATCGCCAAGAGGGTTAGAGTAGACGATACTTAAGACTCTTTCTAGGGACTTCCCTGGTGATCAGTGGTTAATACTTCATGTTACTGCAAGGGGCACGGATTCAATCCCTGGTCAGGGAACTAAACCTGCATGCCATAAATAATTAAAATTTTAAGTTTAAAAAAGACTTTCTGGTCTGGAGAACCCATATTCCAACAGTTAGGGTCTGTGAGGTACAAAGCAGATGTATAACTGGGAATGCAAGAGTGTCACTCAACGCCTCAAAAGTGGGGAATGGCCCCACTTTTCAACCACAAAGACTGGTAAGAGGGGTACCACAAGGGTGAGGGTTCATGTAAAAGGTAACAAGGTAAGTTGTCACAAGAAGGGTGTAAGTTTAACTATAAAGACCAGGGGCCAGGAAAAACTGGATCTGGGTTGAGGGAAGAGGGACAAGATGTTACTCACTCAGTGCCCGGGAGTGGTCTGGGTTCCGGATGCCCTTTGCTCTGAGTTTTTGTAGCAGGGTCCCTGCCGTCAGCTGCCTCACCAGGTACACAGACAAGGAGTAATTCTACTTGGAGGTGGGGGAAACAATTAGCCTCTGCATTGTACACGACTACCACCACCTCCGCTTTGTCACACGAGGGCCAGAGACAGCAAGTTAAGGGAGAGAGACCCACAAAAAGATGGGTGATTCCCCAGCCCAAGACACTTAATGGTTCCCTCTCATTCCCTGCAGGCTTCTCCAGGCTCCCTGCCTCAACCATGCTCACCCGTCCAAACTCAGACGACCAGTTGACCACGATGGTGTTGGGAACAGTGGCCGAGAGACGAGCCAGGGGTGTGATGTTGATGGGGCGGCTGGGTCTCTTGGGTTCAGCCCCGTTCTTGGTAGGGGGAAGGTAACCCTGGAGGAGATGGGGGGCAGACTGGTCAACACATCTTGTCTTAGGTTACTCAGTTCCCAGAGAAAAGGTCAGCTCACTCTCTGACCAAGGAGATGGGGGCCCATTCAGTGACTCAGAAAACTGGGGCACTATCTAGGATTGGGAGTGAGGTTCATTCCTGGGGGAAAAGGAGAGCTTATTCACTGACCAAAGATAAAGGAACCTGTTCACTGCCTTCTTAAAAAGGAAGAGTAGGGATACCTGATTTCTTCTAACCCTCAACTCTAGGATCATCACTTCTGAGAATCTTCTCTGAGTCTTTGAGTTGAACTAATATCCCTCCTGATGCTGGGAAAGATTGAAGGCAAAAGGAGAAAAGGGCAGCAGAGGATGAGATGATTGAATACCAACACTGATTCAATGGACATGAACTTGAGTGAACTCTGGGAGATGGTGAAGGACACAGAGGACTTGCATGCTATAGTCCATGGGGTCGCAAAGAGTTGTACACAACTTAGCAACTGAACAACAACAATGTCCCTCCTCTGGGTTCTAAGAGAAACTTTATTCATCCCTGTCCTAGTTGTCACTAGACTATATTGATTCAGGCAGTAAACTGAGCACCTACTATGTGTCAGGCACTGTACTAGGCATGTCTCTTTCATAATAGATGTGTAGCTAACATTGAAGAACTGAAATAAGGACAGGGTGACTGTCAGAAGAAGAAGAGCATTTACCGGCAGGGGGCACAGTTTCCCATTGACCTTGACAAAGAGGTTGGGGGGGAAGTAATCTTCCTGGGGGCAGCTGGTCTCACAGAGACAGAACCTGGTAACAGATAAGAGAAGATGAAAGTGTGGGAGGCAGTTTCTGGAACAAAATCTGATAGAGAGAAGTAGGCAATCTCAGAAAATCAGTCAAGGATATCTGTAGCCTTTAGCTTCCAAACAAGAACTCCAGGGCTAGGGTGGATGTGAACGGAGCAGGGATATCTCCTAATAGGAACACTCACACCCTCACTTCGTTCCCACCCTCAGTGGGAGTCCTGCTGGGAGACAGCACCAACTCACCTTAACTGCACCTGTATGGTATAATCGCATTTGGCTCCTGGCAGAACCTCTCTGAAACAGGGAGGGAGAAGGAGAGATGTCAGTATGTGGCCCCTGGCAGGTAGCACAGGGGTGAACAGATAAACAGAGAGTTAGATGTCCAGTGGATAGAGATGAGACACACAAGAGAATGAGGGAAAAAACAGGTGCAGGAAGATGGTGAGAAGGAGGGCAAAAAAGAAAAGAAGAAAGTCAGACAGCAGAGTCTCAGGGTAACCACCCAAGGATGAGGCAGGAGGACTCAAAGAGACATACCTGGAAGTGAGAATCTGCTGCACTTGCTGGGGGGTGAGGGCAAAGGTGAAGTGCGCTTCCTCGAACCGCTGGCTAGAAGTAGATGCTGAAGACACAAAGGGGCAGTTACTCCCAAGCCCATGCCCAGGTGGCCACAGAAGTGGCCCCATCCCAGCGTGCTGATCTCACAGGATGAAAGCCTAAGAAAGGCTTGAGGAAGAGGCAGGGAGGCCAGGAAGACCCAGGGACCACAAAGAGCCATACCGAGGGTGGTGGGCCGGATGAGCTCCCCGTAGATTTCATAGAAGGGCAATGGTTTCATGGTAACGTCAGGATGCACAGGCTGGGGCAGAGGAGGGTGCATGTCCACTTCACGCTTGGGGCCCAGCAGGGTACCAGGGGCCAAGAGGGCCGGGGGAATGGGAGCCAAAGGACCGGGAGAGCCTACAGGAGGGGTTCCAGGGGGCAAGGCGAGCAGGGAAAGATCAGAGGGCCCCAGGGTCTTGCGGGGAAAGCGTCGGCGGTAAAGCTCTTTGATCTTCATCTGGACGCTAGGGGCACAGCTGGACTTGAGGAGGTGTAGGGCCTTGGCCAGGAGCTCGTGCTTCCGTCCACTCTTGTTTCGGCCAGCAAAGCCGAGGAGCACCTGGAGCTCAGACACCCGGAAACTCATCACCATGTGCTGTGGAGATCAGAGAAGCTTGAGGATCCTACCTTGCACAGGCCTGTCCTGCCAAAGACACTGGGGCTGAGCTATTCGGTGGGCAACGCACTTTCCCTCCAGCACGGATCTGAAAAATGCTCTGTAGCCCGTGGATTACTGCCACACTGCCTACCTGGCTAAAAGGACATCTAAGTCCCATTCTAGCAACCCTCAGGTCACCTCTCCACTACCCCCCAGGCTTGAGCAATCCTGTCTCCCCATCCTGTGAGTTGACCAGGTGGGAGAGGGTGCATGCCACCCTACACCACACCTTTGAGTCCACTACAGCCTCCTCCCACCTCCCTGCCTTGACCCTGGACCCTCCTTTAAGCCGC